AACAATTTTACTTCTTTTCCCGTGTCTTAAGTGTGCCTCAACTGTACGCTGTATTTTGACCAACAAAGCAAGTTAATGTTCCTCTAAACTCTGTTAACGCATGACATTCTGTGTTTATCTGTACAGTTTTTGCTATTCCCCTCGCATTTCTTTCATGTTACTTCCTTTCCATTTCCTCCATATATATCCTCTGCATGTAACCAAATAGGGATTTCAAAGGTACACACCTACTTTCCCTGAAATATACTGATGCTGATACTGATACTCAGCACCCTTACACTAAGTTAATCGAGGTTGTCTACATGCGTTTTTGTCGAGTTGAGCAAAGATTATCCATGGATATCGTCCTCATGGCCATGAGGAAAGTAATCCATGATCAGCGGTTCTTCAGAAAGTCATAAAACGTGGAGTCAATGTTTTGTGCAATTAAGGTGCCAACAAATTGATACTTGTCTGTTATGAGTGTCGGTGAGCGAACCCCGCGTACCATTATACTGTTTGGATCATTTGTCATATCTTCAATTTTTTCCGTGAAAATTTTTCATGCCTCATCCAGTCGGATGTGCCGACCGCTTCATAAACCCACTTAGTTTGTGACCTGGATAAACTCTCAGTCCCTTTTGGAAAGGCTGACGCTGAAAATGCGGGTTATTCCCCTAGAAGGCGAGCGCCCAATATCCAGAGTCTGCATGACAACCTGGGACAGATGGTTTGGCCTCTGTTCTGTCAAATGGCGTTCGTGTGTGCATGTAGAAGCCGATCTTCCAGTCCGGCCGCAGTATACTACATTGCAGGCATCGTGCAAAGTTTTATAGATGGCTTCCGTCTTATTTAAATAGTTAGTCCTCTTGACGGAACGCACAAGTTGAGTACGTAGCCGTCGCTTCACGGGTACCCTTTCCTTGTGCCCTCGATGCTGTCTTTCGTTAAGTTTGGGCGCATACCTACTACCGGTTAAGATTGGCCAGTTCTCTTATCTTGGCGCCTGATTGGAACTAATTAGTTTTGTTTGACTCGTGCTGTCTAATGCATGGATGTGCAAAGGCCCAGAGGTACCCACTTCAAAAACACTTTGAGCTAGTAATTTAGTTCAGTCCAACGTTTTTGATTCTTAGAGCAGTGTTTTTTCTCCATGCAAAGGCTGTTGATAGTGTTTGATTTGTGAGAGGTAAAATGGTTCCTCCCACAGTACGTTATGCCTTCCGTATAAGTTTCTTTGCAACAAATTGATGCGCTTAATGTTCCTTCAGTCCTGAAATGTACGAAGATACCTAGAAGTGATAGTTTTAATCAACTCCTGTCGAATGTAAGTGTACCTCCTGGAAATAGTAAGTCAACGGTATTGTGGAACACTTCCAACATAACAGCAACACTTAACTATAATTTCCGATTAATTAGTGAAAGAGCTGTAGTTTCTAATTTCTACAGTTGCAGTAACACCCGTGTCATTGCCAAATCTACGAGAGTGGACATGAGCAAAGACTTCATCGAAGGATGCCACTATCTTACATGCTGCAATTGTGATACCTCGTAATTTGTTTGTAAACTATGGAATTCTCGTCTGAGTTTTCACAGTTCTGTGCAAGTGGATGGAGTTGGTGGAATAGCTACGTAGAAAATTTGCACTTAGGTGTGCTGGCTAAATAAACTGTAGGTCGGTGTGGACCGTCCGTTTTGTGGACTTTGAGAAGTTCTCAGATCACAATGGTCAGCTCAATTCGTCTCAGAAGTTTAGAAATATCTCTTGACAGCGGCTTCTCCGTGTAAGATGCCTCAGCACTTCGTCAATAGATGGAATGTGTTTCGACGCGGTTCGTGTTAAGAGGTCTATAAATTACTGTCTTTTGATAATAATAGCCGAAAAATGCGCCCTACCGTATAAGGCTTATCCAGATGTCTTTCAGAGTGTAAAACTTTAATGTTCCATGAGATTTGCTGATGCTATCACAAGTATCTGGGTTGTGCGGAGGTCCAAGTGGATCGAGCATGAAAGGCTGCACTTTACTCTTTTAGAAGGCACATTATCTTCTGCCATTATAAAGGTTATCAAGGTCATAAATTCATCATCTAGTGTGGACAGCAAACCGTCGGTTTTCATGACTTTGCAGCGGATGTATGTATGTCGACCGAGTTGAAGGGGAGCAGACACTTCCGTGCTGGAAACAGTAGCTCTTTCCCAGCGCTTATACCCGAATGAAAACCACGCCTTTTTTCTAGCCCGTACATGTCTGGAGGTGCAGAATTCCTCCAAGAGGGTGCAATGGCGCGGTCTTCCGTGAGATAACGAGTAGATTGCTGCCCCTTCAAGTACGGCTTTCCGGTCTGTCCATCTTTTTCAAGAACGGAAGTATAACGACTTTGCTTCAGTTAGGTCGAACAAACCCAATGTGTCAAACTTGCTGGAGTACACTCCCAGACCGCCCAGACGTAACATCATGTCATTTTTTTTCAGACAGTTGGCATTACTTCAGCAGATTGACTTGATGGTGTTATTGAAACCGCCTGGGATAATACTCGAAATGCCCTTTGATCTTACATCCGGGGAGGTCTAGGAATCCAACTACACGATTATTAACCATAGTGACAACACAGGTACTAGTTTAAATCCCAGCCACACGTGTTTCGCCGATTTTGTGCCGCTGTTTAATACAGCTGCGAGGGGTTCGTTCCATCAACGAGTTCCGCATCGTTCTCCATGTCCTTCCTGATATACGAACTCCAGTTTCCACGCTACCATGTTTAATTTCCTAGGAAATCAATATGCGAACTTGAAGTAAATCCCTCTGAACAAAAGCTTTTTAGGCTCGGTGCGAAAGTTTATTTATGAATATTGGGGCTGAAATCCCTCAGCTGTCGCAGAACAACCATGCCATCTTCACACGCCGCCAACAGGCAGTCAGTAGTATGTAACTACGCGATTATTTACCATGCTGGCAGCAGAGGTACTAGCGACTAGCTAGCAGCAGCTGCTGGACTTCAACTCAAAGATTCATATCAACTTTCGGACCGAGCCCGGAAAGGACTGCTCCGAAGGATTTAATCCAAGTTCGCGCATTCGTTTCCTCGGAAATTAAACAAGGGGTCTAAGGATCGTTGACAACAGGTAATAATCCTAAGAATTGTATTAGGTTTGGCTGGATTCATTTCTGTCCGGTTACTTACTTCTCAGTAGACTCTTCAGCTTCCATATTTTACTCATTGCATCTGTTCGTAACAGTATCCTTATCCCTATCGTTAAACACAAGCTTAATCTTCTCCATCTTCTGTTATTTGGCATGGTTTTGGAAAATTGCGTTCACGCCCGAGAGGTCGGCCGCATTTATTCTCCAGTCTAAGGTGGAGGGGGTTATGCCAGGGATTGGAGGAGAAGGGCAGGACACAGCTCTGTTTGGCCTTGAGCTCTCATCACGCTGTTGCCAAGTCTCATGCAGCCCAAACCATCGATTGACGGGAAACGTGAGGTGGCATGAGTAAGCGACAGCACTGGCGATTGTGAGAGCGAGATGCTACGGACTTTTCACACTTTCGCCCGAGTCAGTCGACACGACTGTTCTCTGGAAAACCATCCGATTTCTGACAGTGCCTTCATCCAACATAGACCGGTGTTTTGGCGCCGTTATGTAGACGACACGTTCGTCATCGTAAAGAAGGACATGCTGCAACATTTCTACAGCCTGCTCAACGCAGTCTTCCCTGATATAAAATTCACGAGGGAAGAAGAACAGGAACAGCAGTTGCCCTTCCTGGATGTGCTTGTCAGACGAAACCTTAACGGTGAAGTTGAAACGACGGCAACGAACACCACACAGCTTCTCAGTTTTCACAGCAACCATCCGGTGGCTCACAAATGAAGCTGTGTGAAGACGCTCTTCAAACGAGTCCAAACTCATTGCAGCAAACCGGACGAGAGAGCACGTGAGGCCCGTTATCTCCGCGACCAGTTTGTGCAGAATGGCTATCCGAGGGCATTCATAAGTCGCTGCCTACTCGGTCGCCACCAGAAAACTCGAACATCAACGCCACCGACGATATGGCATTCTCTGCCATACATCAAGGGCGTTTCAGAAGCGACCAAACGCATTGCTGCGGAGTTAGGTGTTGGAATTGCACACCGCCCCAAAGCCACCATGCGCAATAGGGTCATGAAAATCAAAGACCGGTTAAAGCTTGAAGAGCAATCTGGAGTGGCGTATCGCATTCCGTGTCAAAATTTTCCTTGTAACTACACAGGACAGACTGGGCGCATACTCGGATCGCGCATACACGAACATAAGCTGGCTGTGCGACGAGGCGACGTATTATCACAAGTGGCCGCCCACACCTTCGAAATGGGTCACGAGTTGAACTTCGCAGCCACCAAAATAGTCGCCCACGCCGGAAACAAAACAGGCCGAGAATTGATTGAAGCCTGGGCCTCGGATGAGAACTCGGCCAATCAAGTATATTTCGGCAGTTGGTATAGGTACTGCTCGACAATGTAGGGTTTTAACAAGGCGGAGCACAATTCCCTTCTGTTCGTACTGTTCAGAATACCTCAACAGGTACTCCCAGAACAGGTGGACTGGATGTAAAAAAAAACGAATCTTGGGCTGCGCGTTCTCTGGGTTTGATACTTGCACTTTTCGCATATGCTTTCGTAAAACCAGCGGTTAATCTGAGAGGGGTTAAGATTTTAACTTGACATAGGGAAATATATTCAGGCCCCCACAAAGTAAATAGGCCCTAAATTGCGCTGAATGCACTCCACAATTTTACTGGTTTATTTGAGTTTTTAAAGCGCACTGATGGAGCACATGCCGAAAGTGCTGTCTAATATTTAAACTTTCTTGTTTCAGGTTTATTTGTTGTACATAAATGAATCAGTAGCCATTTCATTACGTAATTCTTTGAAATGCATCCCATTTCACAGAAATGCACAACGACTTTCGAACCTGACTTAACAGCCTTGTCTCCTTGATCTTTCGGACTCGAAAGAAACATACAAATTTCAAAAGCCTAAAATGACGTTTACTGACCAGACAGAAGTTTTCTCCGAAATCGTCGCCTCGAAACTCTTTCCATCCTATGAACTTTTTCGCCAGGCGTTCGAGCACTTCACGAAGGTATGCAGCCTGTCCAGTAATGAGTAAATTTCCCCGGCCTAGATCACTGGCAGTAGGTTCTCGAAGGATAAGACCAGTCTGCATCGTCTCGGCACTTTGAATCGTGAAATCCTGGTCTACCGGTCGGCGGAATTCAAGTGCTCCTCCAAGTGTGAGGCCTGTTTTGTTATTGGCTGCAAGAAGGGACACCTGTTTGTAACAAGATATCATATGGTGCACAACCATGACGTCGATTTTCAAGCAACCTCTTCACCAGACCCTCAACCGGTTGTGGAAATTCCCGAAGGTGAGCCTCCGAACCCATGCCCCTTACCCTCCCTTAATCTCCTTTAGTTTCTCACGATCATGTTGATTTGACTGCTCAGTTTAATGCTCACTTCCCGTCTCTTACGTTTGCCAGTTACGCTGACTTGATGGAAGCCATGAGGAGGTTTCAGGAGGAAACTGGCAGTGTCTACGTGAAAAAGGGAGTACACAAATTGCCTATTGGACACGTAAACAGTGGTCTCCTTGTCTACACGACCATGCAATTCCAATGCATTCATTATGGCAACTTTGTGAGCACTGCTCAAATGCGGCAAAACCACAGGTAGATAATAATTGGTCAGACACTCACAGACACACTTAACTTAGGTCGAAAAAGATTGGCTGTCTATCTGCCATTCATGTTTCTTCTACGCAGAATAAACTGCGTATAACTCGCTTTAATATGCGACATAATCATCTGGTCTCCCCTACGCACGTGCCTTCTCGACGCAAAGGTCCAACTTCTGTACCACTGAAGACACCCAAAGAGTACGGGTCGCATAGTGTGCGTACCAACGGTTAGTCCATTTACTGTGCTCATATATACTTTCTTCTATAGACGGCCTCTGTCTGAACCGTCCTCATCTGCCGTCGAATGAGTACTTCGAGAAGGTAGTTGGCGTTGGCCAATCAGGTTCGGGGGAGACATCGCCTGTTCCAACCTTTGGAACTTGCATCTCGTCCTACTCCTCATTACCTCCATTTCCCCTTCCCAACGCAGATTACTGCGAAAGGTCCCAGCGACTGGCGTCTGTCGAACCAATGTTGCAGTGCATTCGCAAGATCCTTGCTAGGTCCGATAGTCGCGCATTTGGGAAGTTGACGTCCGATCTTCGTCATCTTATACACAAATGGGAGGCGGATCCGTCCTTAGGCCCGAGGCGCATGCAACGTCAGTCTAAATCATTAAGGCACTGATCTGCCCTTCGCCACATCCTCGTGATTTCTCCTAGTTTCCAATCTCCTCTTACCAATTCCTTCACCTCTACTTCCCAATTTTGGTTTTTCCTACACACCGCCCTTTACTGTCTTTGCATAGAACTACTTCCTTGGCCTTTAGACGTCCGTAGTTTGTACAGCTCTCATATCATATCCTTATGTGAATATATGTATATATGTCGCGTTCATCATCCCCCGAAGAAGACGAAGAAGAGAGTACGAATTCATGGACCAAATTGTACTTGAACCGAAGTTTCGGAAACCCTCCCGTTTCCGTCATCAGAGCAATATGTTCGCTTGCTCGTTTTCTGTACCGATATCTCCAAGATGAACTAACCCCGCAATGTGTTGGCTGTTCCTGCTGGCCTTGACTGCTTCAACTTTGATACCCGCCTGGTATTATGTCCGTGCTCGAGGCACGTTCGCCGCCGATTAGCGTTCACCTCTCCGCGATTGACCGCCGGTGGGCTCGTGTCACCTTTGACCCCTTTACGGCCGTCGTAATTGTTGGCGAGCCAACATGCTTGTCGGCCTCCCCCTCGTCACTCAACGGACTGATCGGTTGTTAGGGCTCATGTGAGTTGATCTCAGCCTCGGGAGCGTCGCGGTGAGGTGGCGTCCCATGCTGGTCACATGACCTCCGACCGGCTTCTCTCCTATTTTCAGCTGGCATCGGCTGTCGGCCACGCGCGACTTTACTTGTCCGCACTGACTCGAGCCTTGTGCGTGGCGACTGGTAGGCGGGATGCAGATCTACGGCTCTATTGAGTGTGCCAGTCGAGGACCAACTTTCGAACATCAGTCTGGCCATCTTATATTTAGCTCGGCCGATTATCCTTGCCTTTTAAAAGGCGAAATTGTGGTTCTGCTGTTTGGCGTGGCCATAAACCATAGACAGCTTGTCCTTGCGGTTGATCGCAAGCTGGTGCCCATGCAATCTTGTGCCAAGACGTTTGCCCATTTCGCCAGCATGCCTCGCATCACAGTCTCGGCATGGTATGCTGTAGACCACCGCTGATTGTTCTGTCACCGGGAGCGGGTCTTTGGGCCTCATTATTTGCTGTCTAATTGTGGACTCTGGCTTATGAGCCACACCAATCCCGAAAGGCTTCAGGATTCCTGTCGTCGCCGCTGGTACTTTTTTAACATAAGGGATTGCGAACCAAAATTTCGGGTTTTGCCCGTCCGACCGCTCAGAGTGGGGCTTCCTAAGACACTTGCGTATGAAGGACTTGGGATAACCGTTGGCTTTAAAACGTAAGTATTTAGTCTCCTCCTTTCTCCCGTTTTCGTTGCTGCAGTGTGTTTGGACGCGTTGGCAGAGGGTTCCCACACAACTGCGTTTGTGACCAACGGGATGGTTGCCTCAGAAGTGGAGGATTCGCGTGGTGTTAGTTGCCTTACGGCAGACCGTTGTACATCCCGTCTTCCAGCTTTGTCACTTGTACGTCAAGGAAGGTCAACTGATTGTTGAGCTTTTCTTCCTTAGTAAACTGGATGTCGGGAAAGATTGAATTCAACAGTGCTTTGAATGTCTGAACATCGCTCCTTTTGATGATGACGAAAGTGTCATTGACGTATCTGGCCCGGAACTTCGGGGGTACGAGCTGAAGATCAGTCGCTCGAACCTTTGCAAAACTGCTTTGGCAATTAATCCAGACAGAGGCGGGCCCATCGGTGTCGTCCTCTTTTGCGCGTAGACCTGGCCGTTGAATGTAAAGAACGTCTTAAGATATAGTTCTAGTAGGTCGATGATGTGAACTCGTTTGAGCTGTTGATCGGCCTCACCATACTTTTCCCGGAGAAAGCAGTCAATAGTGTCGGTAGCCTGCGCGGGTGGGATGGAGGTGAATAATGAGATCACGTCGAATGACACCATCACCTCATCTGCCTCCACCTCGAGATGTTTTATGCGCGTCAAGAACTCTTCAGCCGACTGCACTGTCCACTCCGAATCCTTGGTAAGGAAACATAGTCGCTGGTACAGCCACTTCGACAACCCAAAGGTTGGAGTACCACGTAAGGAGACGATGGGGCGTAGCGGCACCCCCTGCTTGTGGATCTTTGGTAGGCCGTAGAAGCGCGCCATCGCGGTATCACTGGCTTTCGCGGCCAACGCTTCCCTTCTCGTAAGAGCTCCCGCCTTCCTCAGCTTGCCGATCGTAGTGTTTATGCTGTTTACGAGCTTTTTGAACTCGCTGACAGTCGATGGCGCATAAGCTTCCTCGTCCATCAAGAGGTTGCCCAGTTTTGTACAGTACTCAGCCTTATCCATGACGACAGTCGAGCGCCCCTTGTCGGCGGGCAGGGTGACGATATCCTTCATTTTTCGTATCTTCAGAAGTTCTCGATCTTCTGCTTTAGAAATCGTCGTCTGGCGTTTGTGTTGGAGGAGTAAGGTCGACACTTGTTGTCGCATGGCGTTTTTGCACTCCTCGTCTGCCTCACACTTCTGGAGCGCCGGTTCAAAGGATGAAATAAAGTCTTCTGGTTGAGCATCTCTTGTGCTGAACTTCGCGTCATAGGATAGAACCGCTAGTTGTTGCTGAGTGAAACGATGGGAGGACAAGCTGTGAACCAAGAGAACGTCCGTGGAGGGCTGCTTTGGCGGACTTATTTTCTCAAATTTTCTAGACAACTGATCACGCAAATTGCGGTGACGCCGTGCACTGTTGAGAATTGCCGGTCTGAGGATTTCCAGCTCGTGTGCCGTAAAGATCAACTGGCAAGTTGATAATTACTGCTCAATCATCTGGCGGTATTTGTGAATGCGAGCGTGGCGGTCTCGTATCAGCACTCTGATCATTTTTTTCTTGAAGTCTGCCATCGTCCGTTGGCAAAGTTTAGAGTACACAGGCGGTCTGTATCTGAGGCACTTTGGTAGGACGTTCTAATCAAGGCACCTGTGCAGGAATTTCAGCTGAGCGTATGTGGAGGACTCGATTCGCAAACGCCTCCCATCTGCGTGCTGAGCGCCCATGGCATACATCAATATAGGTAAAGATTCGAGGCCCAGTTATTGTGTCGCGTTCATCATCTCCCGAAGAAGACGAAGAAGAAGAGAGGGCGAATTCATGGACCAAATCGTACTTAAACTGACGTTTCGGAAACCCTCTCGTTTCCATCATCAGAGTAATTTGTTGGCTGTTCCTGCTGGTCTTGATTGTTTCAGCCTTGAGATCTGCCTGGTATTTTGTTCGTGCTCGAGGTACGAACTATGACCTGCCCGTTCGCACAACTTATTTTAAGCCAACGGTTATCCCAAGTCCTTCATACGCAAGTGTCTTAGGAAGCCCCACCCTGAGCGGTCGGACGGGCAAAACCTGAAATTTTGGCTCGCAATCCCTTATGTGAAAAACGTGTCAGAGGCGACGGCAGGAATCCTGAAGCCGGCTAGATCGCAGTTGGTAGCCCGGAATGGGAAGCGGACGGCGACCTTAACCTTAATTCCCACCTTAACCCTAACCGTTACCGTTAACCCTATCGGCAACCCTAACCCTAACTCTAGCCGAAATCTTAAACGTAACCATAGCCCTTAGACATAGCCGTAACTGAGAAGCATAACCGTATTACTGGAACCTATTCGTACGCTCAAACCCTAACCATAACTTGAAAACCTAAGCCTAAAGGCATAACCCTAACCGGAAAATCAGAAACCATTAACCGGTACCCTAATCCTAACCTCAAACGTAAACCAAATGGGTCAGATGTGATTATGGAGCCCCACAAATTAACCCCAGTAAAAAAATCCGCAAGCCACCTGTAATGCGGGTCCGGGCTACCAACTGGGATCTAGCCCTGAAGCCTTTCGGGATCGGAGTGGCTCATAAGCCAGAGTCAACAATTAGACAGCAAATAATGAGGCCCAAAGACCCGCTCCCTGTGACGGAACAGTCAGCGGTGGTCTACAGCATACCATGCCGAGACTGTGATGCGAGGCATGTTGGTGAAACGGGCAAACGCCTTGGCACAAGATTGCTTGAGCACCAGCCTGCAATCAACCGCAAGGACAAGCTATGGTTTATGGCCACGTCGAACAGCAGAACCAAAATTTAGCCTTTTAAAAGGCAAGGATAATCGGCTGAGCCAATGATAAGATGGCCAGACTGACGTTCGAAAGTTGGTCCTCGACTGGCACACTCAACAGAGCCGTAGATCTGCATCCCGCCTACCAGGCGCCACGCACAAGGCTCGAGTCAGTGAGGACAAGTAAAGTCGCGCGTGGCCGACAGCCGATGCCAGCTGAAAATAGGAGGGAAGCCGGTCGGAGGTCATTTGACCAGCATGGGACGCCACCTCACCTCACCTCATTGACATGAGCCCTAACAACCGATCAGTCCGTTGAGTGACGAGGGGGAGGCCGACAAGCATGTTGGCTCGCCAACAATTACGACGGCCGTAAAGGGGTCAAAGGTGACACGAGCCCACCGGCGGTCAATCGCGGAGAGGTTAACGCTAACCGGCGGCGAACAGGCAGGTCATAGTTCGTGTCTCGAGCACGGACATAATGCCGGACAGGTATCAAAGCTGAAGCAATCAAGACCAGCAGGAACAACCAACACATTACTCTGATTATGGAAACGAGAGGGTTTCCGAAACGTCAGTTCAAATACAATTTGGTCCATGAATTCACCCCCTCTTCTTCTTCTTTGGGACAGGATGAAGGCGACTTTATATCTGGACCTCGAGTCTTTACCCATATCGATTGTTCGACATGGTTATATAGGAATATGTATAGTGTCTATCATCCCCCGAGAGGGCGATTTCATGGACTAAGTCGTATTAGCACTGACATTTCGGAAACTCGTTCCCATCACCGAGTCGTTAGCTGGCTTTTCCTGCTGGCCCTGATTTGTTCAGCCTTACCGCCTACCACGTATTATAACCGTGCTCAGCGCACGTACGTTGGCTAGCCTGTTTTCTATTGGCTGGCTGTAGCCTCTGACTTCAACCATTGGCGGACTTGCGTCCACCTCGCGGCTGTTGTGCTTGTCACTGTGTCGACGTGCTCGTCGGTATCTCCTTGTCAGAAAGCGGACTGGTCGATCGTTGTGGCTCAGGCGGGGAGTTTTCGGCCTTGCCAGTACGTCCATGTGACAATGTGCCACGCCGGTCACATGACATTCTGTCGGCGCCTTCTCTTTTCTCCGAGAGCGCCCGCAGTCGGTCCCGAGTGACTTTTTCATCCGTCTGGACTGACTCGAGCCTTGTGCGGAGAGCCTCAAGCTACCGTGGTAGTGCAGGATCTTGCGCGTATTGGTGGCCGTCGTTTTTAGGTCCCAGTTGGGTTTCCAGTAGACGAGAACGTCCGGGAACGGCAATTGGTTAGGTAAGATCGCAGTTGGTAGCCAGAAATTATACGGTGATACTGTTGACGTGCGTACTTGTCATCAGTAGGTGTGCTTACCTTGTCTAGGGAACTTGTTATCAGAAGGTGTGCTCTTACTGAGTTGGGCAGGTCGCCCGTTTCGGCCAGGCTGTTGGGTTTAATTAGGGTTAGGGTTCGGCGTAGGTTACGTTTTAGGATTGGCGTTTGCTTTTTGGGGTCAGGTTTCGGTGTTAGGGTTAGGGTTTAGGTTCCCGTTAGGGTTAGGTTTAAGGTTAGAGTTAGGGTCAGGCTTAAGGCTAGGGCTAGAGTTAAGGCTAGGGTTAGGGTCAAGTTTAGGGTTAGGGTTATGGCTAAGTTTTGGGTTAGCGTTGGGTTTTGGGATTTTGGTTACGTTTCGGTTTTTAGGCTTAGGGTTAAACTTTACGGTTGTGGTCAAGGTTGGATTTTAGGGTCAAACGCAGGGTTTAGATTCCTGCCATTACTCCACCTACCTAGAACTTCCCAGCACTTTTTCTGTTAACTTTACTTTTACCCAGAAACTCCAGCATGCCTCTACCGGCCCTTCTTTTTACCCCACCCATATAACCCCCGTTCCCCCCACTCCCGTACGACAGGGACCCGGTTGTCCGCCTCCCCATTCCTGGCTACCAACTGCGATCTAACCGCTGATTTCTGTTTCCGCCTCCATTGTGAACTGAATGTAGGGGAACGCAGAATTCAGGACACTATGTAATTCCTGGACCATTTTGCGCTTGACGATGACGAAGGTGTCGTCAACATATCTATTTCGAAATTTTGGTCTGTAAGGCTGCGCTTTGCTCTGGTAGTTATTATGCGCGGTTTGTGCCGTTTGGAGAACCGCCTCTGCTATGAAGCCCAAGAGCGGCGGTCCCACTGACGCCCACTTCGCCTGCCCCTACACTATCTCTTCGAAGGTGGAGTCTCAGTTTCAACGTCTCTCCTCTCGCGTCCTACTGGCCCTCGAACAGTTCGCTGGCCGTTTCGACCGTCAGGTCTTGTGAGCTCAAAGTTAAGAGGAAGTCAAGGTCAAGTGGCAGGAAGAACTGTGTGGGTGAACATACTGTCGTAGCCCCGTCCGAGGCGAGAGACCCCAGTTTTCGGAATAGCCAGATTATGACTTCGTGCGTTGCGCAATGATACAATTGGCCGGAGGGGGACACCAATCTTGTGTTCGCTTGCTAGTCCGCAGAACTTTGCTGCGGCCGCGTCTGTTGGTGCAATGGCCAGTTTTACCAACCTATTGCCTTGCTCGTCTACATGTTGGTGAGGGTCTTGTCCAGTTGCGTCACCGGCTCCCGCATCGATTCACCGTCAAATGACAGGTACGCCTGTCGGTCCTGGAGTAGGGTGTTGGCGTTCTGAGTGTAGTCGGCCTTATCCAGCACAGCTGCGAAACGTCCTTTGCCTGCTGGCAGTACCACCGTGCTGGTGTCAGTCCCCCGATCCTTGAGAGTGCTCTGCTCTGGTAATTATTGTGCGCAGTTTGTGCGCCATCACCAAGGCGGTTGCCTGCTGCCGAATAAGATGCTTTGTCTCGTCGGACTTCCCGGTTTGTTTGAGAATCGACTCGACTGTGGCCACTAGATTGATCTGTGATGTTCATGTAGGCTTTTGTGAAGACAAATAAGTCAGAGGACAGGACGCGCTCCTCAGTATTTACTTTAAGGACCCTTATATCCTTTGGAGGAATCCCTGGGAATTACAGGTGCTGTAGTTTGATCCCTCAGTTAAGTACTTTAAATGTCTGTACAAAGACTTGGCAATTTAAGCGTTTCACTGGCTAGCGCAACACGCTGGTCAGATTGGCAAAGTTGAGAGATCCGGGTTGGTGATTTGAAAAAGAAGATGAGCTCACCAGAACGGGTTTATTTAGATGCTGACGTTTCGAAGAGCTTGGTCGGCTCTGCATTGTCAAAGCGTAAAATGCACTTAATCGACCAGAAATCCCGAGTGACACGTCACGTTGGTCGGCCTCGTGCTGATCGATTTTTCTCTCTCGCTGCCACGGCCTCTCGGGGAAAGGTTGATGGGCGTTTTGTCTACGTGCTTTGTGAGTCACCATTCCGTCGGGGCGAGATGATTGAACCCTTGTCGGGTGGTCGGTGCGGCGGTTCTTGTTCTTCCTCACCGAATAAACTCGCCGTCGGGCTATCTCCGTACGGTCTTCTTAAGTCCAGATTGGTTGTTTGGTCCTGAGCTCTACGATTGTGATGATACATGCTAGTACTGATTTAGGCTCTTCAGATAAGAGTTTAATCTTTAATACCGTTGACTTCAGTCTTCCCTCAAACGGTATTTTTCTCCCACCGTGCATCTGCATTCCTGTGTCTGTGACAGCAGTGGAGATCACCAGCTGCAGGGTCGGACAGTGCCTCCCTATGTCTCCTTAAATCTCGTTGTTTCCAGATGACAACTCGACCATCGTCAATAAAAGCGAAGAGACGAGTCGCAGGAAGCAGTCTTGAAAAAGGAGATACGATCGCTGGGACAAGAGCTTTATTAGCCTGACGTTTCGGATTCCTGCTCGAACCTGACGTAAGTTATGTCGTTCCCGCGAACTAACGTACTACGGCTTACTAACCTCATAAACGGAGAGGCAACAGCAGATACGGGGGGAATCATGCATAAGGGGCTGCAGTGTTTATAGGATGCAGTAGCCATGCTACCCCATACCTATGAATATTCACGGCTCCCCACCCCATTCATCAGGGATTGTTGCACGTGGAGTGACGGCCGACATTGGCGTCGTTAATTGCTGCAATTTCATCACGTGCGTTGAATGTTGGTGTGATGATTGCTCGACCATCTGACGCGCTGACCCTGGTGTTGGGAAAAGTGTTCACCCGTGCGATCCCCGCGTGGCCAATTACTCCGCCTAGGCGAAGTCTCAGCACCGAGTATGGAATGGGAAGATCATTGCACTTGTTAATGGGCTGGGGGCCAGTAAATTATGACTCAAGCAACTCCCAGCTCACGCGGTTGTCACCTCTTGCGAGAATTTCGGCCTCGTCAAATTTGAATGTGTGGCCGGAACCCGTTGTATGAGCCGCAACTTGAGAGCTAGCGTCATTTCTCCGCACTGTTGCAGCGTGTTCGGCCATTCGCGTCCGGAGCTGTCTTCCGGTTTCTCCGACGTAGTTGCTTTGTCCGCAACTGCAATAGATCCGATAAAAGACTCCAGGCGTTTCTTGTCGTGGCAGCGGGTCTTTCGCTTTCATTACCTGACGCTTGATGGTTGCCTCCAGTCTGTGTGCAACTCCAATTCCAAGTGGTGTGAGAAGGCGGCCGACAGCTTCCGAAACATTCTTGACATACGGAAACGCTCGCCAAAATTTGGTGTCCGTGCAGTTAGGCCTTTCGTGCCTTTTGCGCATGCACCGGTTGACGACGTTTTGCGGGTAGCCATTGGCTTTGAAGACCCGTCGGAGGTATTGTAGTTCAGCAATCTTGTCTTCCGGCTCACTGCAGTGCGTTTCGACACGCGTCCTTACACAACTGCGTTTGTGGCTGATTGGGTGGTTGCTGTTGAAGTTCAGTAAATGCATCGTATTTGTTGCTTTCCTGAACACCTTGGTCTTTAGTCCGCCGCAATCTTTGCGGCATACGAGGACATCCAGGAAGGCCAGCTGGTTGTTCTCTTCCTCCTCCATCGTAAATTGTATGTCCGGGAAGACCGCAATCAGATGTTCCTTGAATGTCAAAACCTGATCCCGATCGATAACGACGTGTCCCCTTCTTCAAGTTTGACCATCGTTGCTGCGAAGAGTGAGAGCAGACACGGTGACTTTCGCGGCATCTACCACACTCTTCCCTCCGTCACCTGGGCCCTGTGTCAAAAAGACCGGAGGCGGGAGAGGGCGCAGGTGGCTGGCACGACTGAACCCGCACCTAAGCGTACCACCACACTCCCTAGTCCACAAAAACACTTGATCAGGATTTTAACCAACAACAACGGGTCAAAAAGAGGAGGATGACTGGGCAACCATGCACAAGATCTGTTCACCGAGCGGGAGTGAATCTGCCGGCAGGGGACCAGGCCCTATTCTCAGATAATTCCTGTTTTGACAAACCTCATTAACACGTGTTTCCCGCAGCCCGAGGTCCGTGGCGATTGGCGCTCAGTAAGACTCAATCCTCCCTCAAAAATCTACAAATTTTGGCCCTGAATCTTTCCGTCTAGTTGACTGATCTTCCGCACTCCTGTAGCTCGCTGAACGAGTTGCCTTATATTCTATTATGCCATCCTATTCCAAATTCTCTGACACATATAAGGCCTGGCATAGTACCCTAGACGCCGTTGCTCTAGTGGTCCACTCTAGTTAGGGTTTGCCGTGGTTGCGCATGTACATTTCTCGACTATTCCTCTGCCTTCAGTACTTTCATGCCCAATCTCTTCACCAAAACATGTACATGGGGCTCTCTCAGCTGGGCTGTTTCTTGCTTTATTTTACTTTCTGCTCTCAATTTGTCCATCCCGGCAGGCAGAAATCTATTGTCCTTCCCTAAAAAATGTGGAGTCCGTCAGCATCCCATTTTATCCCCCATCCTCTTCTGAGATCACCAAATGACTGTCTGTGCGTAAATGACATGGTCGTCCATTCTTTCGAAAATCAGACTCATCTCCAATTTCTGAAGGATGGCTTGGATCACGTCTCTGCATGGTCATTGAAAAGTGGTCTTCTGCTTAGCAGTCAGAAATCGGTCCAGTATGTGCTTTGACTGCGGTCCTCTCTCATTTCTGAATTCTTGGGCATTCTTCCCAATGATGAATCTTCTATCCGGTACCATGGCGTCACTCTATCGACAAAACTCCCATTCTATTTTCATATTGAAACTTTTTCGCTAAAACTCATAAACTCGTTTATAACGTCAGCCGCTATCTTTCCTGTCTCACAACTTAACTCCTGGTCTGGGAATTTGCAGATGATTACATTCTCTCCCTCTCCCGTTCCTTTTATTGTTTACCTCTTATTTTACCTGTTTTGCTTTAAAAAATCCGTTAATTTTAAAAAAAGTACTCCGAATGCTGGTAACAACCGGGAGATGGCACCCAAAAAATCCGCCTAACCAAAGCAGCCTGTCTTATGGGACAGGTGGTAATAGAGGTTTTATGGGTGATGGCTGATGGGGATGTACGCTACTAATCGACAGAAAGCCTTATTTGAACAGGTGAATGATCGAAGCTGGCCCGCCCTCCGTTCCCTTATTACAAAATGTGTCGCCAAAGGCAGTATGGTGGTTACGGAAGAGTGGAAGGCGTACAATCGTCTTCCCTCAGAAGGCTATCTACATTTCTATGTAGAACTTCAAGGAACCTACCACCGGACGGCACACCAATGCCATTGAGGCATACTGGAGTAGACTGAAAAGGAAACTCCACGCGGGAGGCACAGTATGTGGTCGAGCTGTGCGGACCCACAGAGACGATGCACAGTATCGTCTTTGGTTTGGCCTCAATGCCATGTCTTTGACGGACGCCTGGGAACTGTTCCTGTCCCATGTTGTGCAGACTTATCCTATTTAAAAGTGATTTTGTTTTGTAATAAACTGTCATAATGCGAATGTATGCCGTATATTCAGGTGTATGTGTGCAACGATGTGGAAGGTTGGGTAATAGCGACCATCGTCCATGTAACCTCTTGCGATGTTCGTTCGGCCAGCCCATGCTAGGCCGTTGCAGAAAGTCCAAGTAGTGCGTGAAAGTAGGCCTGCAACCGCTGATATGGCCTGAAGGCGTTTAAGTCCACTGTTAAATGTATTATTTTCAGGTAACGGATCTTTTTGGGTGCCATCTCCCGATTGTTACCCGAATGCTTCCTGCTGCTGTTGTGATGCTTTTTAGTCTAAATCATAATACAATGACATTTCACAATGGTCAAACCATTTGCTGAGCGGATTTTGAATGATGCCCATCCACTTCACTAACAGCTCCGAAGTCTTCCTGCCCCATGCGCCGACGCTATTGACAAATCTCTTGCCGTACATCGGCATAGCAGCTTTCAGTATTGCTATTTCCGGCACAATACCTTACGTGTAAAGAAAGTGAAATACAGAAGCGGTGTCTTGAGCGGCGTCCGACGGGGCCTCGTAGCTCAAGTGGTTAGAGTTTTGGCTGTACTAAAGCCTTCCCCCTTACTGCGTGGGTTCGAATCCCACCAAGGCGCCGAGTTTTTCACAGTTGGGTCAATATGAATTATTCAAAATCTGCCAAAGTATCTATGCAAATATATTTACTCCAGCATCATATGCAAATTTCCATCTTGGTCAAAATGAATGGTGCCATTTTCGCTAAGCGATTTGAATGGTACTTGTACTTCCCTTCCCTACCGACTTAATTGTATGCAAAAGAAAAGCTATTGGGAATGCGCGGTTGTACTTCGAGTGGTTGAGAAGTAGTTGTCCTAACCCCTAGTCCTAACCGCAAACCATAACTCCTAACCCCAACATTATTGAAGAAGGAGACACGATCGCCGGGACAAGAGCTTTATTAGCCTGACGTTTCGGATTCCTACTCGAATCCATCATCAGAGACAAAAGAGCAGAAACGGGTGGTTGTTGTGCAACAACAAATTTCATGAGAAGGGACACCACAGTATGAACAGCACGACAGAAATGTCTGCCTAAACACCTTAACAACTCAGGTTAGTGAGGCTAGGGTTGAAGTTCGATTTGCTGGAATGTTCGTTGGCTGGTGACATTACGGTGCTGCAAAAGTGGGTGCTTGAGGTCTGCGTGAGTAATAATGAGTGCGCGATCTTTGAGCAGGTAAACGATCGAAGTTTCTCTCCCATCAAATATACTATGAAGAAGTGGGCAGAGACCGGGAATACGGTTTTAACGAGTAATTGGAGAATTTACGCCTCACTACCAGCCCTCGATTACGTCCATGTTAACCGTTCTAGGGATTTCGTGGGCCACTCTATTGGCAATAATACGAATGTCACGAGGCCTAGTGGAGTCGCCTAAAACATGTCCTAGGAAGAGGCCAACCCATAATAGACAGGAGCATCAGAGTACATCTGGACGAGGTTCAGTACCACCCGTGGTTCGATCAGAGGTCAAAAGCAGTTTGTTGGACCTGGGAGACATTCTTAGGACGTCGACATTTTGCGTCGTCACTAATCCACACTCTTCTATCACCTGACTGACGTAATTTTGTGTATAAATTAATGTGAAATTGTACAGTAAAAAGATCGCCCCGCCCAGTTTTCACCTTGTTCGCCTGAACCCTGTATCGTAAGTCAAACGCTAAAGAAACAGCGGGTAGGCACTTTACAGTGACTCCCTGACAGAATGTAGCAGAGCCTCTTTCCTGGTCTCTCCGCTCATCTAAGCGTCAAACACCGACCAGTCCGATCAAGGCAGTATGGAGTTTCCCAACACACAAAGTCAGGGTAGATGCCATGTCATCCTGTGCCACTTAGTATTTTTATGCTACTGGCTACCCATCGGCAGCTTGTGAATATTACACGATTATTCTGCGATAGCTAATATATTTCAGCCCGAATATTCATATATAAACTTTCGGACCGCTTCTCAAAAGCTTTTGTTCTGAAGGATTTATTCCTGGTAAATTAGGTATGGCTGAATGTGAACTTGAGTTCATATACCAGAAAGCACATGGGGGACGCTGGAGAACTCACTGATGAACCAAAACCCTGGCGGCTGTGTTATGCGCTGACACAAAATCAGACGACGCACGTGCGTTTGAACCTGTGCTGCCAGCATGATATTACAATTAATTAAGAACTATATTATATGACGTACTTAATCGATTTAAGTAGCCAGAAAAGCTTCCAAATATTGTGTTGCGTCGAACCAATTTCACATATTTTATGGCCCGAAAATAGTTGAAATCCGACTGATAGCTAACTCCAAGGTGGATGTATTATTACCGTAAAAGAACCACACATCACAGTTCGCAGACCACTGAGCGGAAAATTTTTATAAGTCTGCAATTAGACAACCCAGGCCTGCAAGGAAGGACTCGACAACATTTTAAAAGCTAAGGAAACGCGCAATTGGAGCTGCAGCCAAGGCTATACGGACTACCAGAGTAATCTACTAATCTAAAATGGCAAAGCTTGAGGCTCTCACGTAATTACAAGCATGGTCGATATGGACTCCTTGGAAAGCTAACTTAACGGGTTCAGGAATTGACTTCAAGGTCGTCATCACATCTCACCTATCGGCGCAAAATAAAAACGGAAAATTTGCCCGAGTTAAGTGTGTGTGCCTATTGAAATCGAATCCACTTCGAAGGAGAGTTCCTCCATTGCTAGACAACTGCCGATTTATTCAACCACCAGAAGTCATCAGGATCAGATAACATAAAACTAATTCCTGGTTCTGTCGATCGGAACAAATGGTTTCGGTCACTGAGACGGCCTATACACTTGGTCGTTCCTAACTTTAGGAGGAGTGGACTAATTTGGCCATTGTGACGAGCCTCTGAGCCTGGCGGATTGTAGGTCGATCGATCATGTGACCTTCAAAGGTAAAGGCACCAGCCGCAAGCGCCCCAGAAGCGCTGGCTTTATCTGCAGCTTCGACTAGGGCAGTTGCCCAAGCAACTAACTTTGGATTGGGTGAAAAGGCGACATTTGCGTCCTCAACTTGTTTGGGGTGGATAAGCTGCTTTCCGGAGTATCCGATTTGACTGCCGAACTCACAGTTCTTGCGAAAAGTGTCCATGTCTGCGAAGAAGTACAAAGGTGAGAGGCAAGTGAAAAAAAATCTAGCACCTACCTGCGAGGTCTGTCTCCACCATGTCCACCGCGGCCAGGCCGTAGGCTTTGCATACGGTCACCATGTAGCGACGGGGAAAGTCTGTTTCCTCGCGGCCTACCGAGTGAGTGACGCCTGAAATGAAAGGCATTGGAATTCATTCGAATCTAAAACCAACTAACCAAACTCGAACATCTACTTTAATTGTGCAGTAGTCTACAGGAGAGTGTACAGTCAGTTCCTGCTCACTTTTAAGAACAGCGACTATGTCAAGGGATGAACATAAGAATGTCAGGGCCATAATGTAGGTTATCAGATAAGCAACAAACGCTGGCCCTCAGGGAACCCTTAAAAAGAACACTAAATAAATCAAGATTGCAAAAAAATTAGGAATTATCCCATAATACAAAGTGGGTTAGTTCACGTTTCGTAGGAGGGCCCTTTCTCAGTTGGGATGGCACACATTGCGATTTGCGTATGCTCAAGTGTTCTCTAGTATTCAACAAATCTACAAAACTCAAGCAGATCCCTACGCTGATGAAATGTGCGAACTTAGATATCGCATAGAAATTTTGTCCAGATGAGATTTCCGCATATTTGGACGTTCCAGCATAATCACACCCTGAGGTATTGCCTCGAGGTGAAAAGATGAACACGCGGTTTAAGGGTGTTAGGAAAAACAGGTTTTAACTCTTGGGCAAGTTTTAAACTGCTATTGAGAAATGTGGGTTGCACAGTGAACCAAATGATGGCAATTCCTCTCCAGTCTTAGAAATCGACGTAATATAAAGCTTCTTATTACGTGAACGCTTTAAAAAGATTGGTTTTGGTGCTGGTTGAATATATGATTTATAACGGCAGAGCGTGTCTTTTGATCATGCGTAGCCCAAGTCAGACTGTGTGAAGAGTTTTGGGTGTATCTTAGGGCCTCAGATCTCCTTGAGAAGTACTGCCGGTGGAGGAAGGGGTCAATAAAACGACCATGTGTAACGTAATATGTTCCCTAGTCAGAGAGCCATCACCCAATCCCAGACCGTGAGAACCACCATGCCAGTTGATTATTCAGCGTCCTACGATAGTCTGACCGTCGTTCCTGACGATGTCCACCGTGTGCTTCATAGCAAGACAAAGCAGGCGCGGTAGCTATTGCGTAAATTAGTTTATAGTGAGGGCAGACTTGCGTAGCATCTATTGCACTCCCTCCTCTTCCCCGCCTGGGCCCGATGTCAAGACATAGTCCGACATAGACCGGAGGCGGAGGGCACGGCCGGACCCTCACCTAGGCCTACCACTCACACCTGGTAACAAACACTTTGATTAGGATTTTAACCAACGACGACAACAACAACAACAACAGAAGGACATAGACAACTGCGCAGCCATGCCCACGGCCTGTGTACCCAGAGGGAGCGCAAGCGCATCTACCGGGAGGGAACCAGGAGTCAGGGAACTAACAGCGCACACTAGACTGACAATGGCGTGGCAGATGTTTACATTCCTTGAGGCCCTGCCATCGGAACACTGAGGGTTAGGCATACCTAGTTGGTCAGCAGGAATTCCTCGTTTAGGATAAAAACTCGACAGTTCACCAGATTAGTGACGTAGTCTATAGGCTGTTGCACTGGAGGGATAAGTTTGGCAGCATGCTTAAAACGACTGACCGGTTTAAGACGCAGGTATTTTATTCACTGCCTAGTCACATTCGAGTTACCTGGTCCGGAAATTGTACTGAAAGTTCTTGAAAGAGTACCTGATTGGTGGACTGCTGCTGAGGACGAGTTTGAATGAAGGCCAACGTTTCTGAGGAAGCAGCCTCGGCGGAGGGTGATACGGGCCTGACAAGGACTAAGTATATGCGCGGGGTAAGAAAACACCAACTGTGGTTCAACAAATCCACCAACTTTTAAATGCTCCTGCTTTACTGGCAGACGTGTGCATCCCGTCTACCGTTATTTCGGAGCTTTTTACTATCCGATTGCCCTCCGGTCGAACTTTTTTAAACAATTGAACTTTTCGCTTATTAAAGAATTACGTGTGGGATTTGCAGAACAATGAACTAATGTAGATACTTCAGCAGTACCAACTTCTAGAGGTGATACAGATAAGCGAATGTCATCCTGCAACGAAGGGCCGACCAAAAACTCTGTGGAACAACATCGTTGAAAAATAAAGTAGGCTGTTGTCCATATTTTCTCCTTACCCCGCGCATACACTTAATCCTTACCACGGACCTCAACTGCTGGAGTTAACGAACAACAGGCAAACATAATAAAAAAGGGGGGCAAACGCCCTAACCACAATGTCCAAACTCAAAAAGAGAACACAATTTGCCCGAAGGCGGCGTATATAATACCCTCAAGGACTATTTAGGGAAGGCGTGTGGACAACCGGGTAAGAACTTGCCTAAGCTAGCACAGTAATCATCAGATCCGAACACCATAGCGACTAGAGGAATTTTCAACTGATTAGCCTCCTTGCAGAGATCCGTCATATTTAACAGACTCAGTGGGGACTCGATCATGCCGACAAGGGAGATGTTTGGCACAGGTCTCGAGGCCTCTTTGAAGAGCTTCAGGATTCGTGCCTCCACCTAAAGTAGACAGGAACAAGTGGCTGGAAAAAGCTGTTGTATGACGCCAATATGTTTGACAGAAGGATTAATATATTTCGCACACTACTTTGCTTGCCCACTTACCCAAAGTAATTCATCGATGCAATCCGTTTTCGGGATGGTAATAAGGTCTGGTCCGAGCCACTGGTCGCTACGCGTGGCGGCCGTCGCCTCGATACACTTCGATAGGACCTTGTCAAGGTCAGCCACCGCCAATCCGGTTGTGGGGTGATTGATACGTAGACTTACAGACTGATGCGCACGCAAACTCTTCTTGATAGATCCAGATGCGAAGGCCGAGGCAATTGTGCTTCTGGCCTTCTCCTGAAGTAGAAAATAATCCATATTAAGTTAGATGCTTAGCTAAATCGAAAGGGAATATAAAGATCTGAATGAGGTCAGTAAGTCCCAGAATCGTAAAGCGGCGATAATGTCTTATTGATCGTAATGAAGGGACACGAGTATTCGATGGACCACGGTGGATCATACTATTTATGGACCGTAACAGTGGGGGCTATTTGTTGAACAGATATGCAGTAAGCACTGTTACCCTGATACTGTCAAAAGCTGTGTATGTTCTGACCCTAAACCGAGCCACACGGTAGATGTGTTGGACCAACACGGAGGCTAGATCGGGGTCAACAGGCGTTACTGGGAATGTGTAACCATAAAAATGAAAACACTGAGGGTTTGGCAGTCGACCAAGGCACAGGCTCACGTCACGACAATTGGGATCCAAGACGCGCCCTTTTTTCTTGGTGCAAAATCCTGATCAGTGTACGTTGTGAAGGAGAAGATTCGAGCACCGGAACACTGTGTTTATCGTCCTGAGCTTTCAGACCCATACAGAAGTCCATCGTCAGAGGTAGTAGCACCAACCTAACAAGCGACAGTTATACGGCATGTAGGCCAATCATCGAACGACGGCGCAAGACTGGAGGTGACCGTGCAGGGTTCTGTACGCCGGCGCCAGATCGATAAATCGATTGACCGAGTTCTCATCCGAGGCCAAGTCTTCAATCAATTCTCGGCCTGTTCTGTCTCCCGCGTGGGCGACTATTGTGGTGGCTGCGAAGTTAAACTCGTGACTCATTTCGTAGGCGTGGGTGGACATTTGTGATGATGCGTCGCCTCGTCGCACAGCCAGCTTATGTTCGCGTATGCGCGATCCAAACATGGGTCCCGTCTGTCCTGTGTAGTTACAAGGACAATTTTGGCACGGAATGCGATAAACTACTCCAGATTGCTCTTCAGGTTTTAACCGGTCTTTGATTTTCATGACCCTATTGCGCATGGTGGCTTTGGAGCGGTGTGTATTCCAACACCCAGCTCCGCAGCAATGAGCTCAGTCGCTTCTGAAACGCCCTTGATGTATGGCAGAGAATGCCATATCGTCGGTGGCCTTGATGTTCGAGTTCTCTGGTGGCGACCGCGTAGGCAGCGACTTATGAATGCCCTCTGATAGCCATTCTGCACAAGCTGGTCGCGGAGATAACGGATTTCACGTGCTCTGTCCTCCGGTTTGCTGCAATGAGTTTGGACCCGTTTGAAGAGCGTCTTCACACAGCTTCGTTTGTGAGCCACCGGATGGTTGCTGTGAAAACTGAGAAGCTGTGTGGTGTTCGTTGCCTTCCTATAAACCGTCATTTCAAGTTCACCGTTAAGGTTTCTTCTGACAAGCTCATCCAGGAAAGGCAACTGCTGTTCCTGTTCTTCTTTCCTCGTGAATTTTATATCAGGGAAAACTGCGTTGAGCAGGCTGTGGAAATGTTGCAGCACGTCCTTCTTTAGGATGACGAACGTGTCGTCTACGTAACGGCGCCAAAACACCGGTTCATGTTGGATGAAGACAATATTTTCTAACTCCTGCAGGACCAGTTCTGCCATTAAACCGGAGACCGGTGAGCCCATTGGGGTTCCCTTGATTTGTTCAAAGGTCTCTCCCGCAAAAGTGAAGAAAGTTTGTTGGCAGAATTCAAACAGCCTCATGAGGTGTTAAATTTTGAGTGCATCCTGAGTCTCATCGTAGGCCTCTTCAAGTACTTTGGGGACCAGGCGTGTGGTGGTGCGCCTACGTGCAGGTTCACGTCACGCTAGTCGTCCGCGCCCTCTTTCGCCTCCGATCTTTTTGACTTTGTCATGACATCGATCTCAGGTGAGCGAGGTGGCGAGAGTGCGTCAGATCCATCGAAAGTTTATTGTCAATATAAACCAGCCCAGGGGCAAGTCACTGTCCCTGCGTCCACCCTGTTGTGACGCGTCGGGTTGGCATCGTCGGAATCAACAGTCGAACTGTCTTATGTCACAGGGACGAACGCGTGTGGAATCACTGCAGCCACGACCGCCCCCAGTCATCACGACGTATCCTGGCGGCTGGGTCGTGCTGTAGACGGGAACAGGAGGTGAGGCGACTGAGGTGCGAGTTCCTCGCATTGTGGTCCGAATCAGGCGGAGTCAATGCTGTCTCGAGACAGCACCGGCCACTGCCCAGTTCAAAAGGCAGCCTATCGTGCTGTTGCAACGCTGCAACGTGTGGTGCATGGAGGGGAGGGGTGGAAATTAGAGGGCTTATCCACTTTCAATTTGTATATCCGGGCCCCCTACAGAAGCCCAAATATTCAGACGAGCAATTTTTCGTGGCGACCATCTGAGAAATGTTTTTCTGTTTTTACTATTGCGCTTCATACGGCGCACTTTGCAAATGCCCTCTTTTAATAGGATAGCACCTTTGAGTCTATACGCATAGTCATTTTAAAAGTAGTCTGAAAGTTGTGAATCTTCAGTCTATGCACCATACGCAGACAGCAGCAACTAATCGCTCCATGCTCCGTTGTTAACTTCGTTGTAGTTGGTGCTTTGTCTTTGGCTTCTGTTTCTCGTTTTAATACAATGTGTTGAAGTACGTAACCTTATCTAAGCTGCTGAACGTCGAGGGCATGTTGAATATGTAACTGGCCCTTTATGTTTAAAATAAAATGAGGGCTAAACACTCAGGGGGAACCACATTATGGTCATCGACGCCTTAAGGAAGGACTACGTGCCAACTTCAGCCAGTTTCCGTCGTCGAACTACTCATTTTTAATTAACAATACAGGAGTTGGGGCAAATGGCATTGAGATATGCCGCCGAGATCCCGATTATGAAAATATGACAGCAGAATGCGTATAAGTCCGGACATAACAGTTTGATTCTGTTTTCATTAAGCACCTGAAAATTCCCGAAGAAGAACGGGACGCAAACCTACTTAAGTAGTTCGCTCTTGATGCACTTTTCTTCTGCTTCTGTTATAACAACGAAAAACTTGCAACTTTGTGTAAAACACAGTCCAGTCTCCTCGGTGTACACTTGACCGAACGGGATGACAGCGCTCTGTGAGTTTAGTAACTACACTTATTATAGGTATCGTAAGTGGTAATCGTTTAGACGGAATCCACTGCTGAAGCAACTGATGCCCAGTGGACCCAAAACGCTAGAATTGACGTCGGCGCAGAAAGAACTGCTTGGGTATGCATTCAAGGTCAATGTGAAGCGCCTGTCGGATGTAAGAAATTGGCCGGGTAGATAGGGCGGGATATAGATTTACAGGACAACCCTCACAATTCGTACTGACCAGCACCACCACCAAAGTCCATCCTGAATCAGCGGGGTGGACTTTTTCAGATCTCTAGTAGGGTGCATACCTTGTTGGCATGAGAGACAGCGTCCTCGCAGTCCAGAACAAGGATGTCGGGTATACTTTCAGGCGGGGTGGCTGGAGAGCTAGATAGTTTGAGCATTTTTGAGATCCTGCGTTCCTGATCTCCAGGTACATAAAAGAAGGACCTAAATAGGCGTTCAGGGAGGGCAGCCGTGGAGACAAGACGAGTTGTGGCTACCTCTGCTGTCGTCCAGACTTGTGGGAGCTTGAGAAGTGTGGCAAGCATCCTACTAAAAACCTGAGGGGAAGGAGGAAGGCATGAGTATCTCACTTACCTGACCGATGCGAGACGCACGGCAGAGGGCGCAGTTAGAAGCGTCATTAGGTGCGGGGTGCTTAGAGTTAGGGTGAGATAAGGAGGTGGTTTAGCTCAAACCTACAGGAAGCGTAAATATCCCGTGTCCTGACGCAGAACCCAAACCTACGCCCTAAACTTAAGTCTAATCCTAACCTTAACCCTTACTCAGCATCAGATCGAACACAGCACATCAATGCCAGACGTACTAAGGGAGGATAGACAAAACCAGTGGTCTTCCATATATCTCAAAATTTCCCAACATTGACTTCTGTTCCCAAAAATAACAGAAAGTGGAAAGTGGAAACTTTGAGAAGACGAAACCTGTACATTGGTCTGGCTGAGCGCCAACCGACATGCCCACAAGAAACGTACATGTAGAGTTCAGTCAGGCACACAAAAATCGAGTATTCAGGCTGTTTTTATTCTGTTCAACGACTGCGAGCCTGGCCTCCAAACGCCACGGCTCCAGACTCAAATTCCACCGGCAATCGACGACAGATCATGCTGGCGACAAAATACAACCATAGGTTCCCGGTGATTCACGGAAACACGCGTGATGGAGTTAGCCGGAGGCAACATCTGTCCGAATGACACAAATTGCATGACGGATGCGTGCGGGGAATGCGGGCAAAAGGCAACAATGCGTTTATGCTTTTATTAGCATGCTCAGGGGAGCGGAGACCCTATTTACCAAACACGTGAGCAGCGGCGAACCAGTGTGCTGTTTTTAGCACAACCCAACTGTTCTTTTGCGAGCAAATCCTCTGTAGTCGACTGTGACTTAGGAGTTGTCAGTGCTCTCGTTTTAGTTGCAAGAACAAAAATGCATTAAACAACGAAGATCGTCGTTTTGGTGAAAAAATAGTAGGCCAAGAGGACCTGCTAAGTGAAGCGGATTTTAAATAAATAAAGTCTAACTCACAGAAGCCCATACTCGCGAGATGATGCACGACAACACAAAGTAATGCCACTGCCTCTGATGATGGATTCAAGTGAGAATCCGAAACGTCAGACGAATAAAGCCCTTGTGCCAGCGATCGCTTCTTCTGATCAAAAAGTAATGCCTCAGTGGAAGAGGCAGCTTCTAATTATAGTAACCACTTCAGCGTCTGAAAACTTCAAGATCGGGCACCGGATTGAAGTGGCATCAGTGGTGCTGGCCTAGTTTTGGGACAGGAGACATTCCGCCCGTTTAGCCCCGACCTCCCGCAGAGCAGCTAACCAGTAATATATGTACAAATACACAGAAACGGAAGTAGGCCTTTACAGGTTGGCTGCTGCCTTTAGTCAACCATGCCCCAACTCCCGGGAGGCGGGGCATGCGGCTTGAAAACGAAGGTGTTGCTTCTAGGTGATCCCAGACCGATGGTTCGTCCGTCGCAAATAACAAGGAATAGCACTGTTCCGAGGGGCAATTGTAACTTGTGCGTGATCCTGTTTACAGTGAGGTAGACTTGTGAAGGATCTACCTCGTTCCGTTTTCCCCCATGTGACATGCTATCATGGCAAGGCAAGACCACCCTAGACTTAATAGGCATGGGCTCAAAACAGTATCGTTCGATGAAGATTGATAAGCCAGAAATTCCTGCCCTCAGAATTCCTATCTGCTTCATTTAGCGGACTTAATTAAATGAGATCGGAGACTCGCGGAAAAAAAACATTCACAGGGAGTGCTGGCATAGTAAACTCGAATATGCCACACTTTTGCAGTCCGTTCGGCGTCTGCAATGAGTGGAAGCAGGGTCGACTAACCCCGAAAAGAAGACTGACCATCGAGACAACCGAAGTAACGGGGTTTTGTATTTCTGCAGGGAACTTGTGAGACAGATGGTCGAGAAGTCGACAGGTCGCCGAACCTTGGAACTTTCTGATGGCGGTTTCTACCATGAAATCTGTGACGATAGTAGCGAGTAAACTTCGTCATCATCAAGACTACAACACAGCGTTTCCACTTGTCTCCCCAAATAAGGAGAAAATCCCAATCCCATCACTGGCTGCTTGGCAGAACCGGGCAGTCGACATGGGGAATTCATCCCTGCGGTACAAAAACGAATTACTGGTAATAAAAATTCGGACGCACTAGAGGTCGCGGCTTGGAGCGTTGTCAACGGGCGGGGCAACTCGGTCTTAATGGAAGTAGTTCGGAGTGACTAGATGAGTGAGGGTCAAAACCCTGTGGCACTTTTACGCATGCATGATCCGAACAGCCCTTACGGGAGCCTAGCGGGGACTGGGTCGTGTGTGGCAAGCGCAGACGGGCCCTTCAACTTTGTCAGCCACTGCGACCGCGTCAATCTCTGGTCATCCCGCCACTGGAGTGAGGTAGATGAGGGAAAAGAGTGCGCGGTAGATGAAGCCGAAGGTCCCCAGAGGATTATTTCGGACTGGGAGGCCCGAGGATCGGACTGCAATGGACTTTACGGCATTCCCACGCGCGTGGAATTCGTGCTGCTCCCTTGCAGAAGTCTGGTAGGAGCCAGTTAGTGTGCGGCACACGTAGACGAACTGTCAATCACTGTCAGTCAGTGCGCTCGAGCCTACCTCCGGTCGTCTTGGCTAATGGGTGGGGGAGGAGGCAGACGGTGAGGTAGGTGCTTCGAAAGTCCGTTCCACAACAAACTACTTCAGTTGGAAGTCGCCCCTCCTGGTGCCACTCTCTGGGGCACGCGACAGGTCTGCCCGAAACATTAGTTGGAGGATTATCAACACGGTCACATGTCAAAGTAAAATGTGGTCATCAGAATTTTCCATCTTTCCTATATTATGCATGACGACAGATTGACCGTCGATTTCGACGACGTCCACAGTGTGCTTCATAGCAGGGCGAGAGCAGGGACGGTGACTTGCGCGTGAGTTAGTTTGTAGTGATAGTACACTTGCACAGCATCTACCGCACTCTCCCCCCCCCACCTTCACCCGGTGTTAAGACAGAGTCAAGGAGGCCGGAGGGAGGAGAGGACGAAGGTGACCGGCGCGACGTGAACCCGCGCCTAGACGTACCATCACACCCCCCATCCACAACGCACAGTGACCAGGACTTTGTACTACAACAAAAACAGGAGGCAGCACGGACACCAATGGGCGTGACGTGATCCGGCACATGGGCGTGCCATCAACCCCCAATGTTGGCATTTGTTACGGATCCGCATTCCCGACAACGCCTGCCGGACCCCGATCTACTCCTCCTTCTATTGGTCCAGCACATCTACCACGTGGACCGTTCTAGGAGCATGGGCATTATCTTCCTGTCTGCTAAATGACCTGCTAAAAGTTAGAATGTGCTTGACTGCAGTGTTTTACAATTGCTGCGGAGCTGCAAAGAAGCGAAAAGGCGAGTTCGAGGGAGCCGTAGGGCTCGAGCGCTGAAAAGACAAATCTATTTTGATGGTAGAGGAGCGCTCACCAATCGTTCTTACGGAACTCACTCGTTCCGTTGTGCCTTACGGGCTGTCTCCCGAGCCCAACCATCAGCCGCACAGCGGCGCATGATACAGGCAGTATTTTATTACCGACAAAGACAGGGGAGACGGAAATGGCCATTCCTCGCTTATTAGCCATCGTCAGTCGGCCACACCCAACCTCGAAGTGTGCAACACCTGGGGGTCGAACTCTCGACCTGTTAGTTAGAAGTCCAGCGCCTCTAACCACTGAGCCATTGGCTCGTTGTCCTGTCGGTTTCGATCGCGAATATACAATGGTGGAGAGGCGCTCACAGATCGTTCTTACGGAACTCACTCGTTCCGCTGTGCCTTACGGGCTGTCTCCCGAGCCTAACCAGTATGTCGCGAGTTCGAACCCCAGGTGTTCCACATCTCGGGGTTGGGTATGACTGGCTGACGACGGCTAATAAGCCAGAAACGGCCATTCCAGTCTCCCTTGTCTTTTTCGGTAATAACATCCTGCAGAAATCTATTAACTTGGCGTTTCAGATCAACCCTCGTGACAATCATCAGAGAGAGAGCAACAGCCAAAGGTGGTGGAGGCATGGCGTGCAGCGCTTATGACATGCAGAGACTACACGGCCCTACACTCATCTAAGATAGCAACTGTTGCATTCATCGCAGATGATTGCACTTTGTGAGACGATTGTTTGATCACGCGACCCCCAAAGTTGTCAGCGCCCACGGTTAATTAGTGGCGAAGGTGATGGCTATGATAAGTACTCGTAAATTTATCCACCAACGCTGCAATGGAAGCAGTGTACTTTTGCTTGGTACAGATCTGAGCATGCCCGGTGTGTGCGGTCTAGATGTCGCAAATCATGCCTCTCAGCGAGTGAAGATCTGCGACAAAGGATCTGGAGAGCTCGACACACGCCTTTCTTCAGTGACTGAGGCTGAAATACCGCGCTGAGACAGACTTCAAGCTTATTTCCTCTTGTGAGTATTGGTCCCAAATAAAGGACAAAAAACATTGAACCCAGGCGACAAGGGAAGTGTCAAAACCGCATTAATCGTCTTTTGGATGACCTGAGATATTCCAGAGTGCGCACTATCTCCCTTAAGACGACACCGGTGCACATAACTCGAAGGATAGTTGCCCAGCGACGGCCGCGGTCAAAAACCTCCAGTTTTCGCTTATCTTCCAAGCGCACAGCCCATCATGCACAACTATGCAGCAGGATCTGTCAGACAAACGGTATGATACATGCGGACTTCTGTGGCGATGAGGATGCCGTATGGGGTCTATAGACACTTTAAGGATTGTAAAAACTCCGTGAGTAGTGGCGTCGATTTGAGGGATCACACCATCCATATGCGGTGGCGATTCTTGTAGTTGGCCACATTTTTCGTCAAAGATGAAGACGGCATTAGAGAAGAAACGATGCGGAGAAGTTAACAAAGCCCGCAGCCGTCGGTTGCTGGTAGTCACAAAGTTAATATTAGGTAATTCGGAAAGTACAGGCCGATTTTACGACTCTCTATTGAAAGTTGGAAGTAATCGCTACTTTTGAAAAGTTTCACATGCCTAATCCTTAATGTGATATGAAAATTCTGATAATTTTCCCATAATTTCCTTCAGAG